GGAGCAGGAGGCTGTGTGTGTCCCCCCAGCACGTCCCTTCCCAGTGGCACTAACCGTCCCGTCCCTCCCCAGGCTGCCTGACCGAGTGGGATGGAGTGAGCTGCTGGTCAGCCGTGCCCGTCGGCCAGTCCCGAGCCGTCGCCTGCCCTGACATCCTCCACGTCTTCAAGAAGTCCAAAGGTGCAGTGCTCTGAATCCGGCGCAGACCGCTCATCCCCTGGGACCGAGGGCTGAGCTGCACCCATCCCTGCCTGCCTGGGATCCTTGTGCCCCCCCGGCCCTTCCCCTCCGGTCCCACAGCTCCTGCCCCATCCAAGAGCTCAGCATATATTGCAGTCCAAGCAGGGGAAGGGCAAAAGCAGAGATGCAGGGTGCTGCTCTGCCAGGAAAGTCCCCAAACCCTTTCCTCACCCAGCACCAAGCACCCGTGTGGGTAGGACACTTGGGGACCTCATCCTCCAGCTGGGTGACACCAGGACAGTCACCTTGCTGCTTGGTGACACCAGGACAGTCCCCTCACTGCTTGGTGCCCTCATTTCCCCATCCGCACACCAGCCTTATGCTCCTGACCTGCTCGGTACCACTCCAAGCGACGCGGATGAAGAACGTAGTGCGAGATCATGATTATTTTAAAGCTGGGCGCTCGCCCACGATAGGCACCGCTGCCGGGGAAGCCGCTGCCTCCATCCATCTCAGAAGCAGCGGAGTGTGAAGGAGAGCACCCGACCGGCCCCCGCAGCATCCGAGAACTGCCTTGGCTGGGTGTAATTGAAAAGGCGATGGAGGGTTGGTAAATGCTTGCTTTAGGGCAGAAACCACTCAGGAGAGGCTTGATGAAGTGCTCACAAGATGAAAATGCCCCATTTTAGCCTTAATTCCCTCCCACCACGAGGATTCATTTCACACTGTGCCCTGAGATGCCCTGGCACCTCCACGCACAGCGCCGGAGGGCAGAGATGTGATCCGGGTGGGCAGGATGGGGCAGCCAGGCCATTCAGGAACCACGCTGCTGTCACAGCCGGGATGCTGGTGCTGGGCTTCAGGCTCCGTCCCAGAGAGCAGGGTGCCGTCCCCAGGCTGGACATTTTGGGGGTGCTGATGCAGAGGCGATGCCCATGGCTCTCGTGACGTCCCTCCTTGTCACTGCAGCGCTGATCCGGAGGAACTGCACCGAGTCGGGATGGAGCTTCCCCAGCCCTCCCTACTACAACGCCTGCGAGCTGGAGGCCATTGGCAGCAATAACGACACCGAGGCCAAGGTAAGTGGGTCCCCTGGGGCCCGTGGGCACCTTCCCTAGCACCCCTCTACCCCACATTGACCCATGCTGTTGGGCAATGAAACACAAAGATGCTCTCGGGGAAGTCTCGCTGGCCTCATCTTTGTTGCTGGGCTGCCTGGAGGGATCTGAGCTTGGCAAGGGCTGGGACATCACCCTGTCACCTCCCAGCCCATCGCAGAGCAGCACCTCCCAGCCCATGCTGCCTCACTCCACTGGTGCTTTCCCTTCCAGAAAGGCTATTTTGTCACCATGAAGGTGCTTTACACCTGTGGCTACTCCACGTCCCTGGCAGCCCTGTTCTTGGCCATCGGCATCTTCTCCTGCTTCAGGTAGGGCTCGGCGCTGGCTGCTCCATGGGCTGCACCCGGAGCAGAGCAGGGTAAATCATCAGCGGGGATGGCTGCTCTCAGTCTCTGCACTCCCAGAGCAGCCAGGCTCCATCCCTGCCTACACGGATAACCAGGGTTTTTCTCAGGCTTTGTTTTTGCAGACCTCACTGTGCTGCAGAATTATGCTCTCCAGAGGTGGCTGGAGGATGTTCCCCAGCACACCTCATCCCCGGGCAGCAGTCTCGAGCACAGCACAATCCTGTCCTTCAAGATTTCAGAGCAGGAAAACCTTCTTCAGGGCTTTGTGCTTGACCACCACCAATACATGATCCCCTGGGCTGGGGTCCAGCTGAGGCAGCAGCTCCCGAAGGAGGAGCTTCTCTGCCCATCTGCTCTCTCTGCTCCTCCCTGGGCACAGCACATCTCTTGCTCCCGTAGGAAGCTGCATTGCACCAGGAACTCCATCCACATCCACTTCTTCACCTCCTTCATACTGCGCGGGGCCGCTGTGTTCATCAAGGATGCCGTGCTCTTCTCGGATGAGTCCGTCGACCACTGCACGATGTCAACGGTAAGGAACCAAGTCCCAGCCTACGCATGGTGCAGGAAAGAGCCCATGTGCTGATCTGGAGGGGTCTAGGTGGTTTTGCATTGGATTTAGCACTGCAAAGAGGAGGGAGAGAGAGGCTGTGAACCTGGGGAGGAAAGGCTGGCTTGGGTGGGCTTCAGGAGGTTCATGGCAGCATCTCTGCATGGGTCCTGTCTGCAGAGAACATGTTCTGAACATGTTCTGCCCTCAAAGCTCTCTCTGGTCTCAGAGAGTCTCCCAGTGGGACTAAAGCTCTGCACAACCCCAGTAGCACCATGTACAAGCAAACAGACCTTGCAGCCCTGGATATGCAGATCTGGGGTTGTCAGCAGAAACAGAAACCTCTGCAGGCAGTCCAGATACAAACCCGTGGACTCCAGCAGACACAGGTTTCTAAAGGTCAATAACACGGGGGCTGCACTGAAAGTCCATCACAGGTCTCCTCGAGTGGATGGATGGGGAGGCAGACCATCCCCTGTGCCCCCAGGACAGGGTCTGACGCCAGCCAGCACTACTCAGCCTCTCCTCCTCATCATCCTCACAGGTGAACTGCAAAGCAGCCATCGCCTTCTTCCAGTACTCAGTCCTGGCCAACTTCTACTGGCTGCTGGTGGAGGGCATGTACCTGCAGACCCTGCTGCTTCTGACCTTCACCTCCGACAAGAGGTACATCTGGTGGTACATCCTCATCGGCTGGGGTGAGTGTGGGGCCCCCCAGCACATCAACCCTCCACCAGTGGTGCCCCTTGACACAGACCAGGGTTAGGCACCGCTTTCAGAGATTGCCTGGACTTGCTGCTCCACGATCTGCCTGGCCAAAGCTCCACAGGCATGGTGCTCCCCATGGCTCTCAGCATGGCTGTGTGCTCAGTGGGGCACCCACCAGCTCCTGCCAGCCCCCGGAGTGGGTCGGGCAGCATGGCCTCACCCAGCTTCACCTTCGCAGCACGTGTGCAGAATGACTCGAAGGGGAAAACACATGTGAACGCCCACCAACGGACCTCTGCAGCAGCATCTGCTGCCAACCCATTCTGAATGTGGTCCGGGTGGGACAAAGACAGCTCCTTCCTTCTCCCCAGATCCATCTGGGGCTGGAAACACCCGTCCCAGGTGCCCAGGTTAGATGTAAGAGCACAGAGTGAGGCAGGAGGGTGGCCAGGAGGTGACACACAGACAGGAACATCACCTTCAGTGGGCACCATCCCTTTTTAAAACTTGGAGAAGGGGAAAAGGCTATCAACTTCCTGTTGCCTCCAGAGCCCCAGACCTGACCCAGGCACGTGTTTTTGGGGACAAGGGATGGCGAGGAGGTACGGGGGTTCCCCAGAGCCCCTGGGTGACTCCGCATCCCTGCCTGGGTCCTGTCCTTGCAGGTGTCCCCATGCTGACGGTCTGCTTGTGGGTGCTCACCAGGCTGCAGTACGACAACCGCGGGTAAGAGCAGCCTCTCCTCTTCTTTCTCCAGGCCAGCTCACCCACGTGTCCCCCGTGCAAGTCCTGGGGGACAAACCTCTTGCATGGAGGGGTCAGGAGGAAGAAATGAGGCAGCACTTTATTTTAATTCTGTTTTCTGGTGGGGCCTATGCTACGGTGGGGCTCTGTTGCAAGAGGTGCTGTGCAAATGGGGCAGGGGGCTGGGGGTAGGTGGCAAGGTGGGAGCGGGGCTAGAAGGGTGCAAGTGTGTGGCAGAGCCATTTCTTCTCTCCCATAGGTGCTGGGATGACTACACCAGTCTGTATTGGTGGGTGATCAAGGCTCCCATCCTCCTGGCCATATTTGTGAGTATGTCCCTTAAGCATCCCGGCCCCAGAGCTGGGGGTCCCTCACGGACAGGGGAACCCAACCAGGGGTCTGTGCAGAGCCTGAGACATGGCTTCCCATGGCAGGTGAACTTCCTCATCTTCCTCAATGTCACCAGGATGTTAGCGCAGAAGATCCGGTCCCCGGACATCAGCAAAAACTACAAGCAGCAGTACATGTAAGGGCTAATTTGGGCAAGGGGGAGCTCCCCTGACCCCAGATTCTGGGGGGACCCAGGGCAGCAGGGACCTTTCCCTGGAAGAGCACAGAGGAGGACCACCCTTGGAGCCTCCAAGACCTGCCTTTCATGGAAAACCTACTTTGAGTTAAGACCAAGCTGCCGGGAAGGGCTCGTCTCGCCGGGCAGCAGGACCATTGCCTACACCCAGGTCCCCGCTCATGCCACCACTCTCCGCAGGAGGCTGACGAAGTCCACGCTGCTCCTCATCCCTCTCTTCGGGGTGCACTACGTGGTGTTCGCACTCTTCCCTGAGCACATCGGTGTGGACGCCCGGCTGTACTTTGAGCTGGTCCTCGGCTCCTACCAGGTGCAGACTGGGGAAGATGGGTCGGCAAAATCTGCATGTACCCATCCCTTCCCATCCCGAGATCACACCAGGGGCCCCTGCGATGTGCTGCGGGGGCTTTGCACTCTTTTGGGAGAGCACTGTGTCCCAGGCACCCCTCAAACAAGTCTTATGAGGGGCGGCTGAGGGAGCTGGGGCTGTTTGGTCTGGAGAAGAGGAGGCTGAGGGGAGACCTTGTTACTCTCTACAACTGCCTGAAAGGAGGGTGTAGTGAGAGGGGTGTTAGTCTCTTCTCCCAGGTAACGAGCGATAGGATGAGAGGAACCAGCCTCAAGTTGTGTCAGGGGAGGTTTAGATTGGATATTAGGAAAAATTTCTTTACTGAAAGAGTTGTAAATCATTGGACCTGGCTGCCCAGGGCAGTGGTGGAGTCCCCATCCCTGAAGGTGTTCAAAAAACGTGTAGATGTGGCACTTCGGGACATGGTTTAGCAGGCATGGTGGGGTTGGGTTGATGTTTGGACTTGATGATCCTAGAGGTCTTTTCCAACCTTAATGATTCTATGGTTCAAACACCAGGGACAAAGCACAAGGGCTGAGGTCAGATGAACAACGCGCACTGATCCCATACCCCTACTGCTGGTGGGATGGGATAATAGGTGTTGGAGGATGCTAGATGCAGGCAGCAGATGAGCACGGAGGGGTCCAGCCCCTTCTCTCAGGTGAAATTTGTTCTTTATGTCCTTTTCAGGGGTTCCTGGTGGCTCTGCTGTACTGCTTCCTGAATGGGGAGGTGAGTGTCCCCCCCAACATCAACCCCCTGGGCACCACAGCTGCACACATGGGCACACAGACACCCCCAAGGGTGCACCTCAGTGTGCACCACGCACACACACCCATGCATGTGTGCACACATGGGCGTGCAGACACCCTCAGGTGTGCACCCCAATGAGCTTTGCATGCACACAACCACGCACGTGTGTGCACACGTAGGCGTGCAGACATGCATGGGCGTCCCTGCTCTCTTGCACCCCAAATCCCTTGTCAAGCCCAGGGTGCAGCTCCCGCTGCTCTGCCAGGTGCTGATGGGTGCTCTGGGGTGACAGCACCCATCCGTGATGTCGATTCAGGTCCAGGCTGAGATCAAGAGAAACTGGGGCAAGTGGCAGTCATCCATGGAGAGCAATGTCTTCAACCTGGTGACCCAAGACTTCACAGCATGATGAGGACAGCATTTGTGGGGGAGGTGCCTCCCCAAGGATGATGGTGGTGGTGCAGCTCCACGGCTACGGTCCCAGAAACACAGTAGAATGGATTTTGCAGGTTCTGGGTCTGGCATCCTCAGAGGGTGGTGAAAACGGCCACTGGGAAAGGCTCTGCTGCTCGGTTGCTGGCAGATCTGGTGGATCCATGATGGTGTCTCACCTGCCCAAAGGTCCCTTCGTGGTTTGGTCAGTGTTTTAGGCAAAGTGAAGAGAGCTTCTCCATGTTTTCTGCCCCAGGACTGGGTAGGAGACACAAATATCATTTCACAAAGGACATCTGGCAATTTTCATTTGACACTGGAATGAAAACTGAAATGGCCCCAACACTGAGGGTTTTTTTCCCCTCCTTCTTTGGTTTATAAAGCCACTTCCCTTATGGGAAGATGCCTAGACACAGCCCCCAGGAGCCACTCTGAGGGTGGGAGAAGCAAATACAAAGACAGACAAAACCCAACAGCTCTCTGCGTGAGACTCCCGATGGTCTCACGGCTCAGATCTTCCTGATTTCCAAAATGTTTCCCTTTCTCCCATGCCTGTGCTTCAGCTGCTCTCGGTGCTGGGGAAGACAGTCCATCATCCTTGCCATGCCAGCGTGGACGGCTCTGTAGCTCTCCCAGGGGATTTCCACCGGAGGGACTGGACGGTTCACAAGCAGCAGGACTCACCTGTCTTCATTGGGGACCCATTTGCCTGGGACGAGCAAGGTTTTTGCCAATAAAATCTTGTTCTGAAATCCAGCATCGCTTTTTGGAGGTTTGGTTTGCTCTACAAACCCAGATGACTTGGTACCAGGCTGGCTAGAGGGTGGAAACTCTGCCAGTATCTGTAATGCCTGGAAATACTCCATGGGGGGGAGAAATATCTGCTTTTTCTCTGCCTGGTGAAGCAGCCAGGCTCTGGGCATGGCCACGGAGAGCAGATGGAGGAGGAAGGCGAGGAAGAGCACAGATGGGTGCAAAGCAGGCTGTCCCAGGGGTGCTGGGGTGCTGCTCGGAGCTGCTGCCACCACGCTGCAGCCTGGCCCCGTTCACCCCCACGAGCATCCCTTGCCCTCCCTGGGCTGAGCTCCTGCCTTGGCAAACGCTGTCTCCAGGAGCGAGAAAGGCCTTGAATGTCCTTTCCCCAAACCTCCCGGTGCCTCCCGGCCGCGCCGTGTTCACGAGACCCGAGCCACCCGATCTCAGCAGAGCTTCTCACACTTCCTGGGTTGTAATTTCTCCGTGTAGCCACATGTCCTGCATTAAATAAAACCCGTGTGTTGGCCCCTTTCCAGACTGCAGGTTCTCCAGAGGTCCCGTCTGGTCTCAGGAAGAGGCTTTGAGAGGGAAACAGAGCCCCCAGACTTGATTTGAGGTGAGATGGAAGACGTTCTCTTAAACAGCCCCCCAGGTCAGTAACATCCTGCGTCACCAGCCAGGAAACCTCCCGAGGAGCATGGCAGCGGTCAAACAAATGCCTGCCTGCAGCCACGAAGAGACCACAGGTGAATAAACATCTCTCTCCATCATTAGCGAGGAAGATGATGTGCCGGCAGGGATGTGAGGGAGCACCAGATTGCACCAGGACTGGGGATGCCTGGTGGGAATGTCACGGTTGCCATCAAGCTTTGACAAGCACTGGGTTTTTCATGTATTTTCAGCTGCAAATCGGTCTTCCTGGGTGCTAAAGCTGCACCCCAAGTGACCTCCTGGGGTTTGCTGGGCGCTGACCCCATGGTCTCCCTGGTGCAGAGCCCACTGTGGGTGCAGGGGGGCTGATGTGCCGCTGCCGCAAGGACTTTCCATCACTTCCAGTCTGCAGGGGAGGTTTTCGAGAGGATTTGCTGCATCTCTAGCTTGGACCATGCCCCGTAGCTGCACATTTGGGGCAGCTGAGCCCAGGCGCAGCAGGGCCAGGTCTCATCCCCGTCTCCCCTCCAGCACGGCCCAGGGTATCCCCGCAGCCTGGCATCCCCTCACCCGCCTGCCCTGGGGGGTCCCTTGTCGTCCCCTCGGGGGCATGTCCTGGGGGCTGCGGGCTGCTGGTCCTGGGTGCCAGCACCCAGTGACTCTGCCCGGGGCCCCAGGAGCATCCAGGGAGTAAGGTAAGGGACACATCGCTTCGGGGGAGTGTGCACCCAGCCCCGCACGTGTTCCAATTTTCAGCAAGAGCTGGGACCCCCCAGGGTCCCCCTCGGCAGCCCTGGCCAGGTGAGGGTTAACCAGTGACAGGGATGGGGATAAGGCTCAGGACTGGGAGAGCTCTGCCTGGTGCTTCTTTCCCTGCCTGCATCCTCTGCTCCTCCCTGCTTGGGTGCCGAGGGTGCCCCGATGCCGGTGCCCGCACCCGCTCCTTCAACCCTGCTCCGGGATGTGCCAGGCTCTGCGGAGTGGGGAGTTCACCCTGCTAATGCCCCTTCCCCGCGCCCCAGCTCCCAGGCACAGTTTGCTTCCACCCTGCCTAGCGCGGGCAGCTCTGCCTCTGCCCAGCTCCTGCCTGCGCAGGCATCAGCCAGAGCTCAGCCCCACAGACTCCCACGGAGGCAGCCAGCTCCATGGCCGGGCAAGGGTCGGGATGGACCCAGCACCGGCAAGTTTGGGGGCACCTCCAAGACCCCTGGGTCCCACAGGCTGTGCCAAGCATTGCCCTTATCCCTCCCTGCCATCCCAAAGGACACAGTTTTTGCACCCAAATTGGTGTTGCGAGTACCCCTGGGTACCCCAAGCTCCAGTCACAGTTGGGATTTAGCTGGTTTTGCAGGCAGAGCTGTGTCCTTGTGCCTGCCCAGTGCCTGGATGGGCACCCAAGGGTGCCCCCGGCTTCCAGAAGGGCAGGAGCCACATCCCAGCATTTCCACCTGGCGTGTCTCACCCCAGGTTTGCTCTAGGCTATAGGCAAAGCAAAAAAAAGACCGGTGCAGCTTGTGCAGGCTTCCTGGTGGTGTCAAGGCTGGGCTTGGGGCAGCTGACGGGACCCGCCGAGCATCCCCTGAATTTCCTGCTGTGATCAGTGGAGCAAGTGGAAAGTCCCCACAGCCACAGACACAGAATGTCCCTGTCCCTGCCCTCCTCCTCGGCCAAAACCACCAACCACCGGACACGCGGGGGATGCTCTTTGCCCTTGAGTTTGGGCTGTTGCTTGGCTCTTGAGCTCCTGATGGCCTCCCGGCGCTCTCCACCTTGGTTGTAGCAATTCCCTAGGAGCTAACATGGGGCTCTTCACTCCCTCCTTCCCTTGGCTTTAGCCCTTCTGAGCCCAGCCTGGGCTCCAAGTCAGCAAAAAGAACCCTGGGGCTGGTTTTTAATTGAAGAAATCAAAGTTATACTTCCCAAAGCACACCTTCAGCACCTTCCACGCGGAGCTAATCCTCTGTCCCACACTGCACAACCTCCCCCTCGAGAGCTGAACCCGGTCTCCTGGCCTGCTGTATTTACACTGTCTTGAACAAAAAAGGAAAATCATTGAGTGAAAAGCAGAATTGAGCCAAGGAACTCCACTTCCCAGCTCGCTGGGTGCTCAGGTGTACAGTCTTGGCTCTGTTTTTATTGATGGCATGGGATGCTGGCGAGCACAAGGAGCCTCACGGGTGAGGAGCTGGAAGAAAGGAAAGGCGAATTGCCACAGGAACGTGGCAGCAAGGGACACCAGGCTGGGGAGGGCTGGTGCTTCAGCTCCGATAAAGCGCACGCCAGCATGGGAAAGTTGCTATGGGGTATTTTTGGACTGGGCAAGCAGCAGAAGAGTTGCACAGAGCTGGCTGTGTTGGAGAGACCACTCCCCTCTGACCAGGCTGGGTGCTGGGGTGGTTGGTCCACACCCAGCACAGCCCTGTGCACCCCAAAAGGGGTGAGCCCTACAAGCTGGGCAACCCTCTGTGCTCTCCTCCCAACCGTGGGGTGCCTTCTGTGCACCCCACACGCCCGTGCAACTCCCTGGGCATGCAAAGAGCACCCAAAGGCAGGACAAGAGTGGAGGCAACCACACAGCAAGCCTCCCTTTTGCACTACCCCGTGCCAGCCTGGTCCGGCTCAGACCCTCGGGGGTCCCCCCACGCCGAGTGTGTGCCAAGGGACACGGGGTGAGGTGTGCTGGTGTCACAGCAGGGTGACCCTGCATGGCTGCTGGCTGTCCCGGCCGTTGGGTGCTCCTGGTGTGCAGAGAAACACGGTGCTGCTGCAAAATGAGGCAGCAGCAGAGGGTGGGCATGGGGGGGACGAAGCCGAAATGACGGGTGCCCCTCGTTTGTAAGCAAGAGGAGCAGCCGTGGGTGCTGCACGATGGGAGAAACACTCCCCAA